CACATATAACAAACCCACAGCCAACAGCATTCTAAATGGAGAGAAAGTGGAAGCAGTCCCATTGAAATCAGGAACTAGACAAGGCTGTCCACTATCTTCATTTCTCTTTAACATAGTGCTTGAAACTCTTGCTAGAGCAATAAGACATGAGAAAGAAATAAAAGGAGTAATAATTGGAAAAGAAGAGATCAAATTATCCCTTTTTGCAGATGATATGATAATATATCTAAGGGACGCCAAAAATTCCATGCGCAAACTCCTAGAAATTATTAACACATTCAGTAAAGTGGAAGGTTACAAAATTAACCTACAAAAGTCTGTAGCCTTTCTGTTAGAGTATGTTAGTTTGCTTTGATAAACAGCTTTTTAGGACACAAGATGGCCTCCTAAACCCAGGAAATCAACCACACCTCTCTCACAGGGCTGATCACATGATTTATAATGCAATGCCAATCAAAATCCCCATGACATTTTTGACAGAATTGGAAAAAACATCCTAAGATTCAAATGGAAGCACAAAAGACCTTGGATAGCGAAAACAACCCCGAACACTAAGAGCAATGTTGGGGGGATTATTGTACCAGATGTTAAGCTGTATTACAGAGCTATAGTCATAGAATCAACATGGTACTGGCACAAAAATAGACCTATAGATCAATGAAAGAAAATTGAAGATCCAAATATGAGTATATGCAATTTCAGCCACCAGATATTTGACAAAGGGGCCAAGAACATTCACTTTAGGAAAGACAACATGTTCAGCAAATGGTGCTGGCAAAACTGGATCTCCACCTGTAGAAGAATGAAACTAAACCCCTATCTTTCACCTTGCACAAAAGTAAATTCCAAATGGCTCAAACACCTCAATGTAAAGCCTGAAACTCTGAAGCTGTTACAAGAAAACATTGGCAAAAAACCTACAAGATATAGGTGTAGAAAAGTATTTTCTAAACCGGACATCAACTGCTCAGGAAACAAGGTCAAGAGTCAACAAATGGGACCTCATTAAACTAAAAAGCTTCTGTACATCAAAGGAGGCAACCAGGGAAATGAATAGAAACCCACAGAATGGGAGAAAATCTTCACCAACGACACATCTGACAAAGGTTTAACATCCAGAATATATAACGAGCTCAAAAAGCAGATTGAAGACACCAAGTAACCCAATTAAAAGATGGGCTAAGGAGCTGAACAGAGAGTTCTCAAAAGAAGAAGTAAAGATGGCTAAGAAGCATTGTAGAAGATGTTCAGCATC